TGTGTGTGTGTGTGTGTGTGTGTGTGTGTTCTGCAAAACCCCTCAGGTAAATCCTGAAATTGCTAAATCTAGTACTGTGCACCACACAGATGGGATTCCTTAAATTTGGAATGTTTTAGAGGTGTGTGTGTGTATTTTGTTGCCCTCTTTATCTAAATAAAGATCAAAATAATTATATCCCAAGACTACCCAAGCACTGAAAAGAACTGTTTATTGACTATTCTGAGTAACATGATCACTCTGAAAGGCCCGAAGTGGCATCCTTGTTACAACCATGTATATTAAGGCAACCTAACAATCCCTCAGCACTACTAAAAGATTGACCATCATGTGTTTCATAAAGCTCTCTCAGATATGGATCGATGCTTCACAAAAAAAGAACAGATTAAACATCCTCTTGGTTTCTGCCATAAAAAAAGTTATTATAAAGACCAATATTCGTTGAACCAGTTTCATTGTGAATCCAAAAAGCCAGTTTGAATAACACACAGATGTCACCAGAAAGTCAACCACAACCAAACAGTTTCTCCTCCTTCAAACTCTGTGTGGTTCTTTCTTTAGAATAGACACAGTTTCCTGCTCAATCTTTTTAAATTCCTGATACTTATGATAATGTGGAGCTGATAAGCTGAAAATTAAGTATTAAGTGATTTGTGAAACTTCTCCAAGATGGCCCCAACAAACTACTGAGAAATGAAGTCTACTTATAGCAACGCAGTACTGATCATGTAACCTGCACTGTCCAACTGATGGTTTATTCATGCAGAACACGCACGCACGCACGCACGCACACACACACACACACACACACATACACACAAACACAATAAGAGGGCAAGATCACAACTGTTCTCTGCAGGTTGTTGAAGGTTATTTGTGAGAAACAGGAAATCACGAGCGAAATACTATATTTCTACACTTCATTGTCAAACAGCTCCTGTAGATCATTGACTTAATAATAATTCATACTTGAGCCTCTACCTTTATACCAACTGCACTGAAATGTGTGGGTATATTTACAAGACAGAAACATGAAGTCAAAAGATCTAGAGTCTGAGGACGACGACTTGGATCATCGTCTCTGCGAGCGTCAGTGAGTGGGAGGAAAGGAAAAGAGGAAAATATGTGACAAAGCAAATACATACTGTAAACATGATTATTAACTCTTTCACACATTGTATGATTCATAGTTCAGGGTCGTGATATGATATATGTCAATCAGAAGATGATGAGATTGTAAATCAAGTCATTTGGTTTCTGAGGCCCTTATAAGGCTGTTTGATTGGTCTGAATTAAATGATTGGCTGACGTACCTGCCTTCCACTTACTGACTGGTCGAAATCAGTGAGTGGGTCACAGAAAAATCATCTTCTAGCAGTTGTCCGTGCACGTTCATGTGTGTTGGAGGAGTACCTTTGACGAGAGGGCTGATGGGAGTGGCGGAGATGTATTGTTTGCATTATTTCAAAGTGTAGCCTGCTCTTGTTAGCTTTTCCAGGATTACCAACACCAGCAAGATGAATTCTACATATTTCTTGAATACAGAAGTGGACGCGAGATAGCCCCACCTTCAGTAAATCATTTCATCAGACTTGCTTCTATTCCCCATGTTGACACAGAAGTCAGATTTTGGCCTTCACAGCAAGATCTGACTTTAACTCTACATTCAGAAACAAGATAGAAAGTGTTCATTTGCATGATTCTGGAGAAATATGGTGCAAGTTGTATAATAAATGCTAAATAAGAGTCTCAAAGTTTTATGATCAAAACTAGAATGATCGTGAAGAGCAGCTATACCTTGTCAGAGATTGTGTGTGATGATGAGCTCCTGCACACACCAAAAGACACTGTGATGTAAATCGTGGTAATTCACTGAGGAACACCGCACTGAGCATGAATGCAGGGGTCGGGGGACGAGAGAATGTGAGTCCCCTGGGAGACTCAGATATCACAGATCTGTAACTCTTCACCACTGCAGAGAGAGAGAGAGAGAGAGAGAGAGAGTGCGTTGGCAAACACCAGAGAGGTGGAATCGACCTTCCTCTGACAAACACACACACACACACACACACACACACACACACACACACACACACACACACACACACACACACACACACACACACACACACAAGAACTCTGACACACACTACCACCACAACACCTTTCCTGGGTGTTGGCCTTAGGTAGGCAGTTGGTAATCTGTTGCCATGGCACTACCCCACACACTGCTGCTGTTGCCATGGCAAAGTTATCATTAGGTAAGTGACGTTTTTGAGCAGCATATACAAACTTTGCATGAGCATTTAATCAGGATAAAAACAGACACATATCCATGCAGGTAAACATACGCACTAATCTGCTGAGAGATTCTCCTGTGTGATGCTGTGACAGAGATGCAGCTGAATGCAGCTGACACATCTCCACCATGGTGCTACAGAGGAAGAACAACTCTGGCTTCCCTCAGGGTGCGGAACATGGAACATAAATGACAAACGCATGTTTTTTTTGGATAAGTCCTCATGGCTGAGACAGATGTAGAAAAATTTGGCCTCTGCATAACCACTGTGAGTCATGAGCAAATCAGCCTAAGTGAAGCACATTAGGGATAATGCCAAGACTGACGCAAGCTGTGCCAGCTCTGGACTCACTTCTCAAATGCTGAAAACGCAACAGAAAATACGCTCAGTGTAAATACAACTCAAGTAAATCACACTCGGAACACATTTTACTCAGAAAAGGTGGTGATTCCTGTTTGAAACCCAAAGCAAACGTGAAGCCAAACACTTTAAATGAGACCTTGAAGAAACAACAACCCATCAAAACATGCATATCAACAGTCCTTCAATATCCAGATAATTGGCTATAAAGTTGACTGAAGCAGCAAAAGCATTTCTACGGTGGACACATCAGCTCTATCTGTAATATCCCTCTCTCATGCTTCAGACAAAGTGGTTTCAAATCTCTGCACGTTTTCCATCTTTGTCTCCTCCTCCTCTGTGCCCAGTGAAGGCCTGAGCCCAGACAACCATCAATTCATGTATCCCACTGTCCTTCATGAAGGCAAAGCACAAACCTGCACCAGAAGAGAGGAACAAAGAGGAGAAGAAGGATGACAGGGTCGTAGTTCCTCTGCTTGGATGAAAAGAGAAACACTTGTTTGTTGCTGCATCAGTAGAGTTTGTCTCTCTTAGACATGTAATAAACACATGGTGTGTCAAGGTCGCACAACAGACACATAAAGGAGAGAATTTCCCTACAGTACATGACACATATTCATATTCTTTATTTGCCTGGACCCTTGGATATTTCATTTTGCTGAAAACTTGCAGCTACAGCTGCAGCAACCAGTGAAGAGCTTTCTTGGAAAGGGGTGGTGTGCCCACATTTTCTAAACCGATGCATTTACATGACGAGAAAGCATTAATCATTCGTCGCAGCCTGATTGAGGCATGGTGTTGAAAAGGAGGGAGGAAGAGGAGGGGAGGAAAAGGTGGAGAAGAGGCCATTTCTCAGCCCCAGAAAAGAGTCATCAGCGCTAAAATCAATACACGACTCAGGATATGTGGAGAATGTAGAGAAAGCTATTTGAGCTGGAAGAAATCCATCACCAGTAACGTCCTAAAACTGTACAGCTGCCGAGCTCCTACCTGGTACATGTAGCTGTTAAAGTGGGTCCCATTCTGAAGGTGGATCTTCACTCTTGGGTTCATGGTGGAGGATGAACATATCAGATCCCTCAAGCAGACCCCCCATAAAAAAGAGAGGAAGAGGTAGAGGAGGAAGAGTGAAAGGATGTTAGGGTGAGGAAGGTGGAGAAGAGTGTAGCAGGGCTGAATGAGACTCCCTCAGTCCTCTGCTGGGACAACAGCACTCAGCCTGTCAGCCAGCTCTGTCTGCAGCCCAGAGACAAAAACAGAATGAAACACAAATGATGAGGATGGAGGGAGGAGGAGGAGACAGAGAAGGAGGAAGGAAGGGGCAGGGTTTAGAGGAGGACTGCTCGGGGCTCTGGCCACCTGTTCTCTGTTGCTCTTGCACACAGGCACACACAGGCACACACAGGCACGAAAGTTTAGGCACTCTGTGGGAGTTTTTAAGTCACATTTGGAACTAATGTTCAAATTACCATGAAATTAAACGCTCTATTTCCTCTTAATAAAAACTCCAGTCAGTGCTTACTCAACACAAATTCAAGAGACCCATTTTCCTCCAGCGTGACATTGTGCCTGCTGATTCTTTCTATTTATAAATGGCAGCCTGTTTCAATCCTCTGCTCTCAGTAGGATTTCACAGAGCATGCACTTGACTGAAGCGCCTTCCGGTGATTTTATACGATAGAGAATATCAAGTATATTTGATCATCATATTGTTATAATGTCGTCTGCAAAACTAATGATCCTTTATCTTTTTTAAGGACCATGAGATTTCGTTATTACACTATAAAAGCACACGAGTATGAAAATGTGGAAATTGTGGCTAAAAATCTTGTTTGATGTTCAATATTTGGGGTCAAATATTCATGACCTGTCTTTCTGCTATTTATAGTTAATAATATAAATATTAGTAACTTTCCTTATAAGGAGGACCACACATCCTGAAAACAAAGTACACAAAGTACACTGTACTTAAGGCCAAACAAATCTGAGATTTTGCAAATTATATAATATATTCTTATAATATTATTATTTCTTCTCAATTAAGACTTTATTTTCATGATATTACGACTTTATTCATGTAATATTGACTTTTTCCTCAATTAAGACTTTATTCTTAAAATACTATAACTTTATTCTAGTAATGTTTCCATTGAAATACATGAGCCTTCATCAAGCAGGGAGGGTCTAACGAAGGGTAATATCTCATTGCCTTATGGGAAATGTAGGATTGAGGCACTGTGGGGCTTGTCCCATAAAAGTCACCCAGCACTGCCTCATCATCTTTTTTTCTCTCTTGATAGTGCCACAAATTTACTATCACCTTTTGTTAGTCTACTCAAGTATTTGTAATTCTTGAATTCAAAAATGAGCAAAAGGTTATTGAGAATTTCTCTAGCAGATATACTGTAGGTTGAATAACCAAAATTGTATATTTTCATCTGATCTGTCCAAAATGCAAAAATCCACACAAAGCAGGCTAACTAACTTTATGTGATATTGATTTTTTTTAACATTATTTGTAAAAAGCTGGAGCACACAGAACAAACTGTGTATTTACTCTCACACGTTAACCTGCATCTTTAAATTGGGAAATGTTGCTGTCAGTGGGTCTACTTTCTTGCACCTGGTTGTCAGGGAAACAGGGTTCACAGGAGAGGGGAGAGGAGAGGCAGACTGCACACATCAAAACATCCTTTTGTGACTGTGGTGACTTCCACCATTAACTGACAGCAGCTTACTGCGGGCTGGAGACACAGCCTCACATTGACACAGTGGCCAAACACACCGGCCCCCTGCTGCCATATGGGTTAGTGGTGACGTGGAGACCCCTACTGGCAGCATGAGGTTGCAAGTCATGTATACACATTAGCTAAATATGTGAGAGGAGGCCAGTTAGCCAGCTTTGCACTAGCAATGTAGCTGTGACTTGATTATTCAGATAATGAAGTCATCTTGATCCAGGGAAACAAACGACAAGAGATGCCAGTAATAATTCATGAAATGTGATAACTTCTCATCCATGTGGAGCCAGAGACAGAAACACAAAAACATTCAAACTCACACATCACACAAACAGACACCAGAAGGCAACACTAGCACATCAGCAGTACTGACAAAAACACAAGAAAGAGAATTTTCTGCAGGAGAATTCACAGACCCCTCACTTTTTAAAAATCTGACAGCCTCTCACAGTTTTCTCTCTCTTTCGACACCTCTCTCTACCTAAGTCTCTCTCCCTCTCGCTGCTTCCTAACTACACTTGATTACTTCTTTCACACTCTATCCACTCCAGCTCATCCATGCTCGCTCTCTTATCCCCCCCTTATATTTTCTTACTTGGCTCACCCTCTCCCTTACTCTCGTCTATATTTTTCTCAAGCGTTTCTTATTTCGGCTGAACCACCCTCGACAGACAGCAGCCATTTTACATCATGACATAATGTGGAGCAGAGAGCATGCACCTCCATCCCACCATCACTGAGTTTGGTTTCAGAAAAGAGTGAGAACTCCATGCTAGTATATATGAATCCCAGAGTTTATTGTGTTATGTCAACATAAGTCTAACAAAAACTAGAGTTTGAGATGTTGAATACCTTTGATTATAATTACTGTAATGCACTAATCCCTCTGAAAATGACATGCAGTGTCACTGATGGGATTGAGACAAGGCTGTAATGCAGTTTTAACAACAAACCAATAACAATACAAATAAATATATATGTATCAATGCCAAGACTTACTATGAAATCTTGTTTGGTCACTGAAATTGATTTGATTTAAATGTTGTCTTTGGCTAATTAACTTTTTAAACTAAACATGCAGAGGCAGCGTTCAGTTTTTATGCTCTATATGAAGAACAAGCTCCCAGAGAAATCCTGCAACTCTTAGTTCTTTAAATTCAACGCTAAAGACTTTAATTTCCTTTCCTTTCATTTAATCTAATCAAATAAATACTAATTTATAGAGCTCATCTTGAATCGTAATTGTAAAAATGTACACTTTGACACTGATAGTTTTTTCCATCCACGTTTGGACACAATCATGCTTCTGGGAAGAGTCATACCTTCCTCATCTCATCACTCCTCACTCCTCTCCTCCTGCTCTCCTCATTTGTTTTTGTTTTCTCTGTCTCCTCCCCTCTGTTGCCTCCTCTCTTGTACCCCTGCAGCCTGAAGCACCTGTGTCAGCTCCGTCTTTCTGTCTCTGCTGCTGTCCTCATCACTCAGTTGCAGAACATGGGTTACCTCCCACCATCTCCCCTTCACCGTGTCCTCGTCAAGCCCCTGCTCCGTCCAGAGGGAAGCCTCTTACTGCCACTGTACGCACAAACATTGCAAACAACAGATACACTCACAGGCTCCGTTTGTATACATGTTCACATCTGAACTCTACATGCAGCCCTGACTATACTCTGATCCAGAGATCGGAAAATGTTCTTCTCCGTCTCTCCATGTAAAGATATTTCATCAGCTATAAAACTCAAATGACAATGAGAGTATTAAAGTGTCTATATAAAAACTTATAAAAACATTAAATGTATTTCACTAAGTGGCATTTGTGTTTCTGTCTGTCACAGTAATACACAAGGCGGTTTCCATCTCATTTGGATTAAACTTGACACATTGATTGGGGTTAGTGTCAGGAACTGCAGTATTGATTCTTCTTCAAATCCGTAAAATTTCAAGGTCAAAGCATGGGATCAAAGCCTCAAGCAAACAGTAGAATGATTAAAGCCGATTAGATTTTGGCCAAACTTGGTATGCACCCTGAGATTCACGTTTATTGTAAAAAAAACATGGCCGCCATCAACCAATTTATCTTCACAAATGGCAGGGCTGGGGGAATCTTGGCTGTAACACTTTGTCAAATGATAATAAGTCTTGGTAGATACTATCTTCAGGCTTTGGTTGGAAAAGTATTTTTAGGCTGACCCATAGGGGGTGCCAGAAATATGTAATAAACCTAGACTGTATATAAAGATGGACGACGTGTCTCCACTTCCTCCCACTCTCCAGAAACAAAGCCAGAATTTCCCAGATACAAATGCTGCTATATTGATTGGGGGAGGGAGCTGCAGCAGCAGAGAATACACGCACAGAACCAATCGGGAGTCAGTCTCAGCTGTCAATCATGTTTCACCCAGTCAAATAACAATTAAAATTAGACTTACTAAAAAAATGACACTTAGTATGATGTTGATGCATACTCATACTGTTTTAGTTTGGTCCATATCCCATTTATTCATTAACATGGATGAGGTATGCTGCAGCCAGCCACCAGGGGGTGACATGCTTTGGCTTAACTTTTAGGGAGCAGCCATGCCATTAATATTCAATGGTATAAAATAATATAAAAAATGAGTACCTCAAAACCCAGGGGTCAAAATTTTATAAAAGTTGATTTGGAGGCAAATATTAATATTGATTGGTGTAGACATGGCCTATCACTTATTGTTTGCTGCTAACTGCTGATAATACCTTTGAGCGACTAAATTAAAGATAATTAAACATACTACACCACACTTATGCCCACAAAGTAAACATATTATCCTCCATAGGTCTTAAAATTAAATTTTACACTATGATCAATATGGATGCATTACTATTTTGTTGTCTTGCATCCCTCTTATAGTTGTCAAGTGAGGTCATTATCTTGCCAATCAATAACATCCACTTGTATGTGTAAAAGTTAAAACTTTACATACTGAAACATTCTAGCAATGTAGCACAAATGAATATTTCAGACTACATGCAGCACGGATGTAGTTTCTCTGTGAGTGCCTTTCTAGTTTTAATATATAAACCCGGCTATACACAAACTGACAAATTGTCTGAAAATACACAAAGTAACACACATATACTCCAGGGACCCCACCAACACACACACACACTCAGACCATCCCAGCTGCTCTGTTTTGCAGATGAAAGTGTATCACGGTTTTAGAGGAAAGCAGGAGATGCATCAAAGCTGCACAGCTGTATAAATATTAATCTACATATTCAGAGTAAATAAACTGCTCCAACGGTACGCCCAGCATAATTTGCAATAATATCCTCATTTCCCAATCCTTCATGTAGCTAAAAATGGCTGTGAGTACCGGTGTGTGTTTGTGTAGTTGTGCAGGTCAGGAACGCTTCTCTTGCCCTTCAAAGGACACAAACAGCAGTGACAGGATGCAACTCTACACCACTGTGTGTGTGTGTGTGTGTGTGTGTGTGTGTGTGTGTGTGCGTGTGTGCGCGTGTGTGTGTCTACAGTAAGTCCACAATAACTGTAACTATAATGACAGAGGCACGACCAGCACCTCTCATGGTTCCTGAACATGAGGTGTCACATTACTGTCCTGTCCTTCTCCCACTGCTTCTGTCCTTCTCTCAGACCACAAAACACATGGATGGATGCACAGAGTGTGGGACTGAATACTAAAACATTGTCAGCGCTCAGCTGGAGTGTAGCTTAAATCCCAGATCCCAATATTTTAAACATTATTAAGAGCATGAGTGCATGTATGCATTTCTTTTATAGATTGTGAACTGCAGTTTCAGCAAAGTGTCTGGTCCATTAATTTTGTAAAATTTCAACAACCGATCAGCTTTAGCTTAAAGATTTTGCCAGGTATTAGAAAGATAAGACCAACCAGTATAAAAACAGCCAGAGGTAAAAGTAGGTGAAGATTGGAATGAGTGAAAACAAATAGAAATCTCCACTGATATCGTGGAAGGAGAAAGATACCTGAATGTGAGATTACTTTGGGTACTCTCATTCAGTTAGTTATTTTATTATCCTTGAAGGGTTCCACTACACTGCACATTCACTTCCCATTTTATTCTTAATTATTCTATATCTTTTTTTTCATAACTTTGTATGCACTGTACAATTCAGATCAATCTTCTTCACAATAAAAATGATTTAGGTGGACGAATAAGTTTGTGTGTTTTCCAGACATGTCCAAAGATAACATGATGCACACACAATACTTGTGTATTGCAAACAACACAACTAAAGGCCATTAAATAAATAAAAATAATGCTGTGGCCCACAACTGTGACATGACATCACATCACACTGTGAGAAAACATTTTATTAAAAAGATGCTGCTTCATAGCAGCTTTATATATCCATGTCACAGACGACAAAACTTTCACAGACATGCTTTTCTGTTTTATGATATTAAAACACACACACACACACACACACACACAC